ACTGATATGTATAAAAGCCGCAAAGGCTGAAAAATCTTGAAGTCTGTATGAAATTGGAGGTAGTTTGAGGATTCATTTTTTATGCTTTTTAAGCTGAAAAAAGTGGGGGTCGTATTGTACATGAGATTGTGTCATACATGAATAAATACAGTAGCTTTCTGACATTCTTTTGTGGAAACCAATTTATTCTGTGGGAAATGTTGAACTTAAAAAATTCTTAAAAACTAGCTCACAGTTAATTTTGAATAATTCAGTAATACTAATATTTCCCAAGTGGAAGAAATCAGGATGTGCTTCTCATTTTTGGGGGGAATTTTTTTGTACAATGCAAGAGAAAGCAGTGCTTTTGGAGCATAAAGCTACTGTGCAGTAAGCACTTTTAGTCTGATTTTTGTTCTTACCAGGCAGATTGTATATTCATCTACCACCAGAAGGGTTGCCTTGAGGTTACACTGCACTTCATCTAATTGTATCAGCTCACAGCTGTATATTGATCCTGCCCAGATACATAAAACAGCTTGACTGCTGAGAGTGGATTTGCTACGTGTCACATTTTCAAAGGCGATATTTATCTTTGTATTGTGATAATTGTATGTTACACATCAGGAAACAAACAGCAGTCGTCCTGTTTCCTYGCAAATAAGAAATCGACTGGGATGTTTGCAGAAGTAGGCCATTTTTTTATTTGCTGTGATGAATCATTCTGAAAGCCAAGCCACCATGATTCTATTGTTGCACACTTTTTTCTCTTTAAAAATCTTTAGCTAACATCTTAAAAAAAGTCTGCTAYTGTACTGCATGGTTTCAATGTGGCTTTATTTGTTAACTGCTCATTAAAAGGTGGAAAAAGAGCTCTCTTAAAGCAAAAGATGCTTAACATGGACCTACACCCAACGTGCTAAAAAAGTCATCACATCAGTGTCAAGTTATCAGATAGTGGGTAACTGCCTTCTCAGAAGATAAACAGTAATCTAAAAAACATGGATTTTTGTATTCCTCATACATTTGATATAAATGGGTTTGAACTTTTACCTTTTTCTCTGATCTAAAATCGAACTTCTGAAGAGCTCATTTTTGGTTTGTTCAGCAGAGGCAGCAGCAGCTTGAGCTGTGGTCACCAGAGCAGAAAAATCAAACACCTTCAGATTGTTTGACGCCGTTGTTTTTCTTAGAGCTTTTTCTTCCTCGTCTCTGTCCCCCATGCCGCCCCCTGGACTGCATGTCTGCAGACTTTATTGGGCCACAATTGCATGTAGTTTCCTGTCAGTGTTCATTTTTTTTTCCTTGTAAGCACATCAGGGAGAGGTTTTTGAATTACAACAGACCAAAAAAGCAGGGCTGCGCTCACTGTCATTTTCACCAGAAAAAGCMGTCATGATTTATGGAAATGAAAAACACTGGAGGGTTACGGTTTTATACTTTTTCCTCAATATTTTCAAGGCTGTTGAGTCCTTTGTCCTGTGAATTAAATAATGAAATTATTTGAATCAACATTTTTTTGAAAAAATGTTGATTCAAAATGCTTTATCAAAAATAAAAATAAAAAAATGACA